TCTGGCAAAAGTGTCACAAAAATAGTAATGTGCATGGGAACACGGATGGACAACCAAAACACTTGGGGCAATGGGCATAGCAAAACAAAACAAAAAAAATAAAAACCCTCATGGGAAAGTGTAATACAGGTGTTTCGCAGAAATGTGGATAAACTCAGGGTGATGGGACTCAACCTGCATGGGATGGTATGTCGTTTGTCATTTTGCTATGCCCATTGCTATGGTTGTCCATCTGTGTTCCCATGCACATTACCATTTTTTCACTGTGACACTTTTGCGAGATCCACCCAGATTGGACTGTCATTATGGACTCTTCTCGTTTGTTTTTATCCTTTGGTTTGTGAGTATGCATTTATATGCTTCATAATAAATTCTTGGTTTACTGCGTTAATGCACGAAGAGAGTGCGCCCTGTTTTGCTTTTGTTCATTAGAGTAGTGTAAGACTGGCCATAAATTCTGCCATTTTTTTTCCTTCAACCACAAGTTGATGGAAAGAAAATCGCTTGATTCCTTCCTCAACACAGTCAGTGTTGATGGTGGAAATCCTCCCACTGTGCTATTGTATTCTATGAGCAGAAGGTCTCCCTGCCGGCAAAATACAATGATCACTGCTGACAGCTGTAGCAGCCAGCAGTGATCATATGAAAAAAAAACCCAACCGGTGGTTAATTGTACTGAAGTCAATCACAAGTAGACACGTGTGTTTTGTTTTGTTCCAAACTGAAATTCGGACAAATTTTTCGCTGTTTGGAAATCTGGATGCATCCAAATTCCCAAATTACAATAGTCACAAAATTAAACAAATCTGAAATAACAAAACACATTTTAGACATTCAAATTTGCAGCGCATTTGAAAACGAAATTGGATTAAAAAACAAAATTGAATTAGAAAACAAATTAGAAATATAAACACATTGATGACTATTGCTGATTTACTTCAAAGACTGTGTGTATTAGTTAGAATAAAGCCATCTTCCAAAATTTCAATTTCGAAAAGAATAAAATAGAATAGAAAAAATAGAATTGAAAATAAAGGAAGAGAAAAGAAAAGAAGATAAATAGAAAGAATACAGCCATATTCAGAAAAGAATGGAATAAAACTTAATAGACTAGAAAAGTATAGAGTAAAACAGAATCGAATCAAAAATAAAAGAATAGAATACAGTAGAATAGAAAATAAAGAAAAATAATACAATACAATAGAAAAATAGAATAGAAAATAAAAGAATAGAATAAAATAGAATAGAATAGAAAATAAAGGAATAGAATGGAAAAGTAATAGAGTAAAACAGAGCAGAATAGAAAATAAAAGAGTAGAATAAAATAGAATAGGAAATAGGGGAATATAATAGAAAAGAGTAGAAAAAAATAGAACAGATTAGAATAGAACAGCATAAAATAGAATATAGCCTCCTTCAGAAATTTTAAAGTTTGAAAAAAAATAGAATAGAATAAAAACAGAATAGAATAGTATAGAAAAGAATATATTAAAACAGAATAGAATAGGAAATAAAAGAATAACATTAAATAGAAGAGAAAATAAAGGAATATAATATAATACAACAATAGAATAGAAAGAATACATACTATATTGCCAAAAGTATTGGGCCAGTCCTCCAAATCATTGGATTCAGGTGCTCCAATCACCTCCATTGCCGCAGGTGTACAAAATCAAGCCCCTAGGCAGACTGCTTCTACAAACATTTGTGAAAGAATGGGTCACTCTCAGGAGCTCAATGACTCCAAGCGTGGTGCCGTGATAGGTTGTCACCTGTGCAATAAGTCCATCCGTGACATTTCCTGGCTACTAAATATTCCACGGTCAACTGTTTGTGGTATTATAACAAAGTGGAAGCAACTGGAAACAGCAACTCAGCCACCAAGTGGTAGGCCACGTAAAATGACAGAGCGGGGTCAGCGCATGCTGAAGCACACAGTATGCAGAAGTCACCAACTGTCTGCAGAGTCAATAGCTAAAGACCTCCAAACTTCATGTGGCCTTCAGATTAGCACAACAACATTGCGTAGAGAGCTTCATGGAATGGGTTTCCATGGCTGAGCAGCTGCATCCAAGCCTTACATCACCAAGTGCAATGCAAAGCGTCGGATGCAGTGGTGTAAAGCACGCTGCCACTGGACTCTACAGCAGGGGAGACGTGTGCTCTGGAGTGATGAATCATGCTTCTCTATTTGGCAATCCTATGGAGATGTCTGGGTTTGGTGGTTACCAGGAGCATGGTACTTGTCTGACAGCATTGTGCGAAGTGTAAAGTTTGGTGAAGTGGGGATTATGGTGTGGGGTTGTTTTTCAGAGGTTGGGCTTGGCCCCCTAGTTCCAGTGAAGGGAACTCTTAAGGCGTCAGCATACCAAGACATTTTGGACAATTTCATGCTCCCAACTTTGTGGGAAGAGTTTGGGGATGGCCCCTTCCTGTTCCAACATGACTGCGCACCAGTGCACAAAGCAAGGTCCATAAAGACATGGATGAGCCAGTTTGGGGTGGAGGCACTTGACTGGCCTGCACAGAGTCCTGACCTCAACCCGATAGAACACCTTTGGGATGAATTAGAGTGGAGACTGTGAGCCAGGCCTCCTCCCCCGACATCAGTGCCTGACCTCACAAATGTACTTCTGGAAGAATGGTCCAACCTTCCCATAGACACCCTCCTAAACCTTATGGATGGCCTTCCCAGAAGAGCTGAAGCTGTTATAGCTGCAAAGGGCGGGGCCAACTCAATATTGACCCCTACGGACTAAGACTGGGATGCCAATAAAGTTCATGTGTGTGTAAGGGCAGACCGACCAATACTTTAGACAATATAGTGTACCTGTATTCCGAAATTTGAATTTCGAATGGAATAAATGCAAGTTTGAGTTCCAATTTGATACTTTTCAATTCGGTTGAATTTGAAAACGAATAGACGAAACTAAACGAATTCTGAAAACAAATTAAATTTAACCAAACAAAATTACGGTATTTATATATTGAATCAAAACAAAACAAAGCAAAGTTTTACGTCCTGCTCATGTCTAATCAATAGACCGATTTCAATACAACCAGCCTGTTGTTGGGTGGATAGAAATTCATCCGGTTCCTCCTAAACTGGCTGAATTTCGATCTGTCTATGGCTAGCTTAAGTTTACAGAGGGATAGAGCAAATGGCAGACCAGGCAAAGATAAACACAGATCATGTTCCAGATAGGTAAACTGTGCAATGAGAGACAATAGCAGAAGTGACAGGATGGGGATCTGGATGAGCACAGTTAAGTTGAGTACAAACAATTCATTGGAAAATCCAAAGTATTAGAATTTTGAGTAAAGCAGGTCATAGACGGGTCGAACATCGGCCGATTTTTTTTTTTAAAAAAGAAAAATCGGTTGTTCGATAGGCTGACGGTACCACCAACGTTAAAAAAAAATCGCCCTATTTTGACACGTCTATGGCCGGCATTAACCCCATAACTTCTGTCCCTTGCAGAGACAGGGGAGCACACCATACAATGTGACAGCAATACAAATACATTATTTGGATTACAATGGTTTTATTTGGATACAAATAGATACATTTGTTGCAACTGCAAGACTTTTTCATATAAAATATAATAGCGGACTGGACTTCCAGTTCGTAGGAAGGATTCAGGTGTCTCCCATTCCTATGATCGATTCACTTTAGCAGAATAAAATTTCTTCTTCTTTTTCTTCTTCTTCTTGCAGGTCACAGCTCATGCGCAGATTTTTTTATCGGTAAAATGATCAGCCGATTTGCTCATCATTGCCGGGAAAATCGGCCGATCATCAAAATCAGCTGCGAATTTTCCAACATGACCGATAAAAAAAATGTGCAAAAACCACGAAAAACGGCCAACCAATTAACCCACTAACGGTGTGAAAATTGGATGATTTTTTTTTTGGATGAAAAATTGGCCGATTTTTTAACCCATCTATGGCCGGCATTCGACAAGACTGCATCCAGCATATGAGCAAAGACACTAACATATTAATCACACAGGCTTCACATCCAACACTCTCTTTAAACTATCTAAAGGAGACAGAGGAGCACTGCACAAACCTCATCTCCATCAATCTGTTTGCTAAAACTTCACACTGTAAAGTCAGCCATAGAGGGTTCAAATTTCAGCCGGTTCAGCATGTATGGGCTCGATCAACTTGGGTACAACCAGCCTGTCAGATTTTTATATATGATTAGTGCTAGCAGCTATTATAAGTGCTAGCAGTCATCAATGTGTTCTACCTGTGGGGATGGCTCCTCCCGCTGCCCCCCCCCCCTTCCCCACCTACAGAACACAATAGCTTCACGGGAGGGATTCCCGTGGTTGCAGGAAAGAAAATCTCTCTATCTATGGCCGTCTTAACCGAGCATCTGGTATGATCTGATTCCACAATTCCAGGTTTGTGGAGTAGCATTTCCCTCTTGGGCTGACAACTCCTACATCTTGCGGTGACTAGGAGTCAGCAGGAGGAACCACGGCTGCCAGTGGGGAGACACACTATTCAACCAGCACAAGGAGTCAAATTAGATTTCTGCCAGGAGCATTTCAAAGTAAAGTAAAGAACAGTAAAGCTTTAGCAAACAGGCAGGTATGTACAAAGCTGTTTCCTTCACGGGTTGGTTAGTTAGTAATAATAATACATTGTTTATGCACTGACAGGCTCACTTTATTTTTTTTATATACTGTATGTATTTGAATGTGATTTTATCCCAAAAATGTTTTCGTTTTTCAAAAATTATAATGGGACTATGCTGTGTATTATGTTGTTTCACAAATAGAACTGATTGCAGCTTTGTAGTAAAAAATCCATAATAAAATACCTGTTTTTGTACACAGGAATGCGTTTGAATGGGGTCATCTCCAAAAAAAGTTATTAAAGCTCTCTTCCTTGTCCTCATCTTTATCATCATATTAATTAGTTACAATTTCCACACAAGTCCAAAGCCCAAAGCTGTCACTACTGCCAACCACGCTCCTGTTAAACCTATGTACCCTTATCTCATAGAAGAAGGCCAGAAATGTGCAAGAGGACCTCCATTCCTACTGCTGCTTATCCCTTCCATACCAGAAGAGACCCTAAACAGAGATGTTTTGAGGAGGACATGGGCAAATGAGACCTTAGTCAATGGTGTTAATATAGCAAGACTTTTTCTCTTAGGGAGACCGTCTAGTCAAGAAATTCAGGAGAGGGTCATGTTGGAGAGCTCCAATGTCCATGACATAATACAGCAAGACTTTATAGACTCCTACAACAATCTCACCCTCAAGACATTGATGGGCATTGAATGGGTCAGTCGCTTATGCCCAAATGTGAGCTACGTTATGAAAATTGACTCTGACATGTTTTTAAACCCTTGGTTTCTGGTGGAGAAGGTCTTGCAGCCTTCTAGTCCTGCCAAAGTGAATTTTTATACTGGGTTGCTGGTGGTTAGCGCTTTACCGCAGAGAGACAAAAGCAGCAAATGGTATATGCCATTGTCACAGTACTCCAAAAACGTCTATCCACCATATTGCTCCGGCACTGGCTACATCCTCTCTGGAGACCTGGCAGGAAGGATATACAAGAAAGCCAGTGATTTCAATATATTCCCATTTGAGGATGTTTATATAGGAATGTGTCTGGAAAGCATTGGAATTAAAATCTCCAAACCAGCAGGAAATTGGTTCATAGGAGATAAAATTAAATATGACAGGTGCCAGTTTTCCAGTATTGTCACAGTCCACCATTTTATGCCACAAGAGTTGCTTCAGCTCTGGCCTGATTTCACCAGTTACCCAGAGACTTGCAACAAGCAGGGGACCTAACAGAGCTGTAATGAAAACAACATCAACTCTACGGATATGGATGGAAGTAAATTAGGAGATAAAGAAAAATGCTGTTCACCTCCATCGTCGAAATTGGCCAGTTAGGAAGGCCCTTTTCAAGATGACCCATCTTCAACTTGGTCTAATAATGGAGATAAAGCACCTAATTCAACAAGCTGCAATGGTACTTAAGAAGTGCTAGATAACTGTTAAGTCATTCCAAAATGACTTATGATATTGACTGAGGGGCCACTTTAGCATGCCTTCGACCCTCTTTACCGCTTGCCCTTCAGAGGATATATCTCCCCTTCCTGACCAGGCCATTTTTTGCAATGCGATGCTGGGTTACTTTGACAACTGCTCGGTCATGCAACACTATACATAAATGAAATGTATGTCACTTTTTTCCCCACAATTAGAACTATGTTTCAGTGGTATTTATTATTATTATTATACATGAATTACATAGCGCCAACAGTTTGCACAGAGCTTTACAAAATGAAGGTAGACATTACAGTTACAATACAATTTGGTACAAGAGGAAACAGAGGGCCCGGCTCCTTAGAGCTTACAATCTAGGAAGGGTTGAGTGATACAAAAGGTAATAGCTGTGGGGGGATGAACTGATGGAGGAAATAAATGGCGGTTTACTAGGTAGAAGCAGGATAGGCTTCTTTAAAGAGAAAGGTTTTCAGGGATTGTCTAAAGGTGGATAGATTAGGAGACAGCCGGACAGATTGGGGTAGAGAGTTCCATAGGATGGAAGAAGCTCGGGAGAAGTCCTGGAGGCAAGCATGGGAGGAGGTGACCTGCGTTTTTTGCACTATAAACAAAAAAAGGCCAACAATTTTGGAAAAATAAAAAACAATATTTTTGATGATTTGCTATAAAACCTATCAAATAAATAAATTTAATTTCTTCATAAATTTAGGCCAAAATGTATTCTGCTACATGTCTTTGCTAAATAAAAACAAAACAAATGGCAGTATATATATTTGAATTTTTATTCTTTTTATACTAGCAATGGCAGTGGTCAGCGACATAGGATGGACTGCGGTGGGCATTCTGACACTGGGTGGGAACTGACTAACTGCCACTGACATCCCCAGTGACAATAATACAGTGATCAGTGCTATTAAAAAGCACTGACACTGTACTAATGACACTGGGCAGGAAGAGGTTAACATATGAGGTGATCAAAGGGTTAACTGTGTGCTGTGTGTGTGTGTTTTACTACATGTCCATGCTGACAGGAGAAAGACCCGAGTTGTTTACACACAGGTCTCTCCCCTGTCGGCTTTGCCAATGATCACCCGAGTGCCGACTGGGAATCACCAACCAGGACCCGATGATTGACATCCCTAGCTGCGCAATGGGCGGCACAATTGGGTGGCAGGAGAGAGCTTCAATAAAATCCCAAAGGGGTGTCAGTCCCTTAGCAGTAGCATTTGCCAATTGGGCAATTTAAGCAGCTTGGAAATAAGCTTGAAGGTTAGGAAGGCCAATCCTGCCTTGTGATTTGGAAGCATACAATGTCATATGGTTCATCCAAGGTCTTCTATTGACCCAAATAAAACAAAGGAACCTTGTCTTGTAATGCTGCAACTCACATCTCAGAACTTGTATTGGTAGGGTTCTAAAATAATATAATAGAGGCAGAAATGTAATTTTAATCGAGTTGATTCTACCAAACCAGGATAAGGAGTAGTCAGCCCAACGGCGAAGATCATCCCTAAGTTTTTAAAAAGGAGGGGAGTAGTTAGCTTGATAAAGGGTCTCAAAAGAAGCAGTTAATTGGATCCCTAAATAAGGAAAAGGATTTATGTGCCCATTGAAAATTATAAGTGTTCCGGAGCTGCTGTTCTACAGAAGAGGGTAAGGAAACTTTAAGGGCTGTCATTTTTTGAGAGTTGAAGGAGAGCCCAGAACTTACAGAGAACTGACCCAAGAGAGACAGTAGATTAGGTAAGGTGATCAAAGGGGAAGTAATATACATAAGAACAATGTCAGCAAATAAGGCACATTTATGTCCCTGTTGTCCACAACGGACACCATGGATATTGGGGTGGGAACGGATCGCCATAGCTAAGGGTTCAATCGCCAATGCGAAAAACAATGGGGAAAGTGGAGAACCCTGTCTAGTGCTGCATCAAACACGGAGGATCTGTATCCTCTAATGGAAACTTGAGCCAACAGAGTATCGTATAGCATGTGCAATAAAGCAAGAAACATGGGACCAAATCCAAAGGCTTGCAAGGTAGCAAACAAATATTCCCAAGTTAAACTATCAAAAACTTTATGGAGATCCAAGGAAAGAAGCAAAAGTTCCTTTGAGAGGGGAGCATCCCATTTAGAGCCAGCAGCTGAAATCAGGGTGATAGATGGGTGAATCTGATCCAAAGTTTGCCATCCAGATATAAAGCCTGACTTGTACTTATGAACATACTGCACCTAGAGAGAATGAAGACGCAGAGCCAAAAGTTTTGTTAGAATTTTTAAATCACAATTAATTAATGAGAAGGGGCGATAATTGAGGACATCAGTAGAATCTTTATTAGGTTTGGGAATGACACTAATATATGCCTTGTTCTCGTCTAGAGGAACCACACCTTCATCTCTTGAAGAATTTAAATAAAGAGTCACATGGGGAAGAAGATGTTCAGAAAAGGTTTTATAATATTTATTCAGGAGACCGTGAGGGCCAGGGGATTTATGTGACGACAGTATTCTAATGATCTTGCTAAGCTCTTTGCTAGTAATAGGTTGTTCCATGAGTTATGGACCTCAGTGAGACACATTAAAGGCAAAGTCCCCAAACGTTTTGAATTGAAGAAGGCTCAATGAGCTTGGGCTGACTACATAGAGTAGCATAGAAGTTGTGAAATTCCCAAGGGATCTTCAGAGAATCCTGTGAAATATGACCCCCCAAAAGCCTGGGATTAGGAAGTGCCGAGTATGTTTAGGGGTAAATTTATGCGCTAAAAGGGAGCCTGGCTTATCTTGCCATGTGAAAAATGTATGGTTCATCCAACGCAGTTGTTTTTCTGCTTTCGTGGTGAGACAGAGGTGAAGTTCCAGACAAACTTGCTCTACCTTACATAACAGGTCGGAATTCGGGGCAGTGTTGTGCTGGGCAACTAAGGCCTCGTATTCTTTAGATTTGGCAGAGATCAACTGAGTCTGGAGGACAATTGGATAAAGAAGCCTCTGACAGAGGCCTTGTGTGCTGCCCAATTAATAGCAGGAGTCGTGGCTTCTGCTTTAATAATTGCAAAGTAAGACTTCAGGTGTTCCACCACTTTCAAACAATAGGACTCGTTACCAAGAAGGGACTCGTTTAATCGCCAGTGTAGCATGGTGTGGCCAGTTTGACTGTCAAATTAGAAACTGTCAGCATCACAGGGTTGTGGTCTGACCAGGGCGTCGATACAATTTTAGCTGAGCATAGCATTTCCGAGAGGAGGAAAATGTGGTCTATACAAGAATAAGGATTGTGAGCTCTAGAAAAATGAGAGTAATCTCTAGAGGTGGGATTGGCTTCTCTCCAAGCATCGACTAAGTTGTAGCGACACAGAAGTTGTGCAAATTTGTTTGGAAGGGGATATAAGTTTGACCGCATGAGCTTTATCAAGCATGTGATCTAAGGCTAGATTTGAATCCCCCGCCAAAACAATGCCACCTTTTAGTCCAGGGGATAAATATGTAAATAGGGATTGGAAAAAGGCGACCTGCTTTGTATTAGGGGCATAGTAAACCAGAAAATTTACCAGATTCCCCCCTAAATGACCCTTAACTAAAAGGTATCACCCTTCCTTGTCCCTTATCACTTTAGCTTCGGTGAACAAAAGCCGTGTGGAAAGACAGAGTGCTACCCCTTGCTTTATTTCAGAGGCATTTGCAAAAAAGCATACAGGAAAATCCTTGTGGATATATCTAGGTGTAAAAGAAGGGGCAAAATTGGTTTCTTGCAGAGCTATAATATCAGCTCCCACGGACCTATAGTGTGAAAAAACCTGAAGGCGCTTAGAAGGGGAGCCCAGCGCTTGAACATTATGGGAGAGCAATCGGACAGCATTGCTGTTGTGTGGAAAGACATGGAAAGCAATTGATACTATTATAAAAAGACAGATTCACCCACCAACATGGGATATCGAGTATCCAAAATCTTCTTGGAAGTCCCAGGATGACCCTCAAATAGAAATAATAAAATAGGTTAAGAAAGTAGAGAAAACAGAAAAAAAGAAACATGAGATGCCAAGGCCAAAGAATGGTCAGCATCAGACTTGATGGCAAAATGGTAATATACAATGTGCAGCAGTAAGGCAAACAAATAACTCAGAAGCAAGGTCAGGGAGCAGAAGAGTCTCCACCAGAGCTAAGCAATGGGAAGTCTTTTGAGTAGGAAGAGCGCATAGACTCTTCCCGTCACTATGGAACTAACATGAAACATATAAAAAAGGCTCCCAAGGCCACATGAAATTTAAATATTTTGCTAAAGATATAAACGGTCCAAAACCAGTAGAAACGTAGAGGACAATACTGCTAAGGTACAAGGTACATCAAAAACAGTTCAAAAACATTTCTATTATTTTATTGCCCTTTAAAGTGTAGTGATAGATTGAATATACATTTTTATCTGGGAATATAACAACATAAGAAAATGACTTTTTTACTGGCTTTTCATCATATCATACAACATATTCTGCTGAAGTATTCTTGACTGAGAAACGTAATAACCTGGTTACCTGCATTCTGGATTCAATGTAGCTTGCCAATGCCATCTCTCAGTGTGTACATTTAGGAGATGTATAAACTTTTGTTTCTTCTGAGGGAACTTAGTGAAGATCTGTGAAAGAGTATGCTTGCAGGTGGCCAAATAAAGTTTATTTTTAAGTGTCCTTGTCCTCTTCTCTGGCCTGGTATGTGGAAGAAAATACTCCCAGTGAAGGTAAAACAGTCCTATATGAGGATTTTAAATTAGAGCACATATGGTTAATCTT